CAGGAAATTGGAGGCAGACTGGCAGGCCCCGCTTCATTGAACCCACTTCTTGCGCTCGTGCAAGCACTGAACTTGTTGCTGCTAAGCTTCAGGTTGTTCACGCTGTCCCCCAAGCTGCTGAATTGAAGCCCCCTGCAGGTGTTATGATCACACGATGATGACTTAGGATTGATTTGCATGCCCAAAAATACCTGTTGGATCCTGTTCGAAAGGTCATTTAGATGTCATTGGATTCAATTGATCTATCGGGCACCCATACATAGGGCACAATAAAAACAATCACCAAGTTCAATGGATCACCTTCAGTCAAGAAACCTGTCAAAAACCTGAGAACTTTCAGAAAGCAGGTCAAGTACTCCACCTGAACAAGCAGCCAGTACTCAGTACTCGGTCACTCGGCAGAAACAAATCTCCGGAGCTCCGGTCGCCCCTGAAGGATTTAATACCGTTTGACTGCTGTTCTAAGTCTTGCATATTTATGTTTTCTTCACCACCGTTCACAGGGCTCACGATGCTTCCAATAGCATGGTTCAAACATGTTCCTGGATGTTCTCTAAACCTCCTCATAGAGGGACCAAAAACAAAAGCCCAACAAAACCAACGACTAACGTTACGTATGTACACTGACTGATTAAGGCACAGTGCCTTCTTTACATATGGTTGTTTCAAGCCCCCAAAGGGTGTTCGAACAAGCAGCAGCACTGGCACCGCACCTGCGAGGCACCCACAGCGCAAAGCTGGTGAAGGAAAAGTACTCCACGCTGGGTGGCCGCCGCGCGATGAGCACGACCGCATCCTGGCGCGGCGTTTTGGTGTCCCGGCAAGGTTCGGGTGCTGCCAACGTAGTCGGTTCGATTGGAACAAGCGAGGTTCGGATGGTTGCTTCACACCTTTCCATGGAATACACCTGAGGTGCACTGGGTCAAACGGATACTCACAGGGCTACAAAAGGGGTGGATGGCAACGGGGGGCCAGCAAAATTGAACAAATGTTGTGGATTGGGCTGAGTTTTCCTAAGTGTTGCTGAGCCCTACTGAATCTTATATATACTAAGTGCAAAGTGACCCAAATCAATGGGAAGGGGGTTGAGTGCTACGCACATCAATGGGAAGGGGGGATCATATCTAAGCCAACCACATAATAAGGAATGTGACATATATGGTTGCATGTTTTTGAACTGTTTGTATTTGTCATATTGTTTGCCTCTGCCAAGTGGCCAAATGTTTGGATTTGCTGCTGTGGCCACTTGGGATGCAAGAAATACATCTGTCACTGGCTGTGCAAATAGGAGCGTGGACCATGGGCGTCAGCACCATCGCCACGAAAGGGTTCTCCCTTCCGGTTCGCACCTTTCTTCCAGCAAGAAGCGCCCTTTCCACATGCCGCCTCTCTCCACTTGATCTCTGTACCCAAGGGACCTGATCTCCACATCCCATCCCAACGCCCTTCGGACCGTCCGGACCGACGTCAAAGCCACCGTCCGCCACGACCTCCTACGACATCCGAGAGCCGCGTACGTCGGAGCCGCGGGAGCCGCGGTGCCGTGCCTGGCGTTTCATGTGCCACATGGGGCTGGGCAGGAAGAGGCCGAAAGCCGGCAAGGCCAACCACATGTAGGGCGTATTGGGATTGCCTCCGAGGCCGCGCGCATGGCCCACGTGTACCATGCGCATGGCCGCGGCCACGTGGCTGCAGGAGTCAATGTCTTTTTTCGGAGAAGGCCGGTTGGAACGGCAGGGCCAACTGATTGAAGTCGACTTGGATGTCGAAGGGGTGTGCATGGACCGGAAGAGTGACACTGCTTGTGAGTTTTTGACAAGAGACACAGCCATAGGGAACATAGGAAGACTATTTGTTTGGAAGTACTTTTTCCAGTCTACATCTTCAGTCGGTCGTTCGTCTACTTTGTAGCATAAATCTGCTGTCAGTCACGCGGTTTTCTGCTCGACCTTGTCGTGAGGCCGAGCCCATGAAACACTGGGCGTCTATCAAAAAGTCTCTTGAACAATACAATACCCTTCTGCTGTCACTCAGGTCAAAGATCCAGCTATTTTCCAACTTACGATTCAGTTGTTCTTCAGCTATTGCTTTTGGTTGTCTTTTCAGTAGTACTTCCTTATACTTCCTTGGTGGCTGGTCGTTCGCAGCTGCATGAAAAAGGCCCAGTGGCTTCCGAAGTGGTCCGTGAACAAAGACCTCACACAGACTGGTCACCCGCATGTGATGCGGCCAAGCTATGCATCCACTGTAGGGGTTCAGCGTCAGTGGAAGGTGTGACCACACACAGCCATGCAGGATCATGCAGGTGATTTATTGGAGTCTGTTCAACAAGGTGGCCACTCACAAGTTTGGGAAACAAGGACCGTAATACAACTGTCTGTCCTAAACATGTCAGCTTGTTCAGCAGCCTCGAAGGACTATGCTTGTCATCAATCCGTATCAATACATGGCATCAGCTGACAGTCCATCAGATCATCTCCTTTTTGCGGCTCACTCTGGGATCAAAACCTGCAACACGCTGCTGCGCGAGCCTGCACTGCGCTTGCTCCCCTTCGACTTACTGAGGCTTGGACCAGAAGAAGGTATCTCGATCTCGCAACATCTGCCTCAGATGTGTTCAGGCCATCGCTATCCATATGCATAGGTTGGAGGCCAAATCGCAACTATCCCTCGGATGAGTCGATGGCTCGACTCGTTGCCGAGATCCTGGACGATCAGTGACGAGATCCTGGTCGACGCGTGGCGAGCCCTGGCTTAGGTTCAGTCAAGTCTTATTTAAGAGGAGCTGCAAATAGGATGTAACCTTTTCAACCCAGCGTTTGTCTTTTGAATGTACTGTGTTTTATGTTAACGTTGTGTGTGTTGTGTTTTCTTTTTGATGTGTGTTTTATGATGTGTTATTGAAAAAATGACTGGGTTTTGATGTCATTTGATTGGATCACAACCTGTTTCAACCCAGTCAGTTGATACCAGTGTTTTTAAATTGACACCAAAAAATCAAAAAAAATACAGGTATCAAATCTGCTGCCCCAGCCCTTAACTGACGCCCAGCGGGATGCTCAAAGTCAACTACTTTGCTTGCAAGCTTGCCAGAATCGATCAGATAGCATCATACTCATAGAATAGAGAGTTGAGCTGGGGAAGGTGTAGGGAACCCAACTAGGCAATCGAGATAGCAAATAGCATCATAGATCCCCCATCTTCTGCCTGGAGTCCCTACTAGCCCCACCGGTGCCATCCTTTGTCCAAGTGGCCCTCTACAGCTCAGCGTCAATGAGCCCAGCGCCGACTCAAAGCGTCCCGCCAAGGTCCGAACCGCGGGGTCACTGCAGGGGGGGTGGAGCTGGCAAGACCAGGCCTGGCAAGACCAGGTCGCTCGGAATGGGGGACATCCAGGTTGGATGCATCGATGAGGCGTTGGTCCAGCTGGTGTTGGATTTGGGGGGGTTTAGGTCCTCCCATGCACCTCGTAAACCCACTTTGGGAGGGAAAAACAGAACGCAGCTTGAAACGGAAAACATGTTATCCCATGTTGTCCCGAATGGATGTATCCCATAGCCAGCTGGGAAAGCTTCCTAGGCACATCACTTGTCTTGAATCCCAAAGAAAGCATCTCAGCATCTCTTAAGAATGCCCAAATCATCGAACATCTCCACCTACCAGGACCTTCAAAGTGACCTCTTTAGAGTCTCTAAGTGACCTCATCCTGGGATATCAAAGGGTCACTTTGAAGGTCCTGGTAGACACATTTTCATCGACCATCCTCGACCTGCTTTGTGGAACCACTCGCCTGCCCAGTAGCTCAGCAGGGCGCCCAAGCTGGCCCACAGCAGCAAACGCTTCATGGCGGCAGCGACGTCCCCACGCTGCAGAGCGGCCGCTCGGTCTCAACACATTGGGTTGCTGTGGATGCTGGAAAAAGGATCACAGCTGAATGGGAGTGTTTCCTGCTTCCTGTCCTTGTTTTGGAATGCACCATGGCTTTTCCTTGAGGATGTCCAATGTCCACTCCAGTCCTTCTGGTGCGATGGTCTTCCGGTCCTTGCTGTTTCAGGGAGACAACTAAAACATAACATCCATCATCCATCTAAAACTGCGATGCATTTTGTGTCTCATCTTTTGCCTCTCACTTGCAGTCAAAAGCCTTCTCGGACGTATCATCTCGCACCTTTCTGGGGCTGATTTGAGAAGGCTGCGGACAAGACTCCGTTTGTTCAAGCTCACTTGGGGATTTGGGGATATTATTCCATGAAATGATTGCGATATATTGATATACTACGATCAAATTACAATCTAATAATTAATATGATCTAGATTGATCTATAGTATCCGATTCCCAAGAATACTGATAAAGTTGATTCTTGGTGGTTAGGAAATTCCTGTTCATCGTGTTAATTTTAACAAAGCGAGAAATCAGTGCATATCTGGCCCTTCTTCTTCTCTTTCGGAGGGCCAATGAATCCCAAGGGTTTACCAGGTGGATTGGTTCCACGCCAGTCTTTCTGCCAGCACACTCTCCAACCCTTTTTCTCGGCCTCGAACTCCAGCCGTTGAATTCACGAACGGTTCCGACAGACGGCCTTCAATTCCGGCCCGGTGCAAGGAACCATGATTAGAACATATTCTCAGGTCATTTTCGAACGGCCCCCGCCGAAAGTCTCCAAAAGTCTACAAACTCTGAGAGAAATCTTGAAAGGAGGAAACATGTTGTACTTACAACGGTTTCAGAGTAGATGGCACTGGCACTCCAAGATGTCTTTGATACAGGGGTCCATATCAACCACCGACATTGAGGATTGTGCCATCTACTCTGAAACCCCTGTATAGTACGGATACGCATAACAACATCTCAGTCCCACCTGCAGGGTCATCTACCGACCGACACAAAAAGAAGACGAGATCCGCTTCGACCTGCTTCGACCTGCTTCCGCCGCTCGACTGGCCCATCGGTGGCGCCACGATTCATCTGCAGCGACTCGGAGACCGGCAACTCAAGCGATTCATTTCTGCTGGCGCCTGGTGATGGCGCGAGAGGGAGAAATGGCGTTTCAGAACGAAGCGGGCCACTGGCGTGAGACATGTCTCAGGTCACCCTGGAGATCATCGAACTTCATGTTTCGACTGATGCAAAACGCCACCGGTGAACCAAGCGATCGACTTCGACTTGCAACGCCGAACCGGCAGGGGTCGTCGTTTCGTTCCTTTCGTTCCCCGCTTCTTCCGGAGGACGTTGTAGACGTAGAAGGCTGCGATGTTTCCAAAGACGGCACCTCGAGAACGGACGCCGCGTACGTCGGGTGTTTGAAAAACCCAACTCGGTCCGTATACGTGGCAGTCTGTGGAGCTTGTGGAAGGGCAAAGAACTTTTGGAGTTTGTGGGTGAACATGCAACATCCCTGGCAGATCAGAAGGGCACTCATCTCCCCAAAGAATTGTGTTGTTGCCAGTGTTTGTATACTAAAAGAACCTATAGTTCAACTGTCCATTCTCATCATTGAACATAATGCTGAACTTGTGTTGAACAGTTAAACTTCTGTACAGTCAGTCATCCCCATCAGTCTCGAGAATCATTTCCCTATACATCCAAGTACCTCCTCAGAAGGTATTTAGACCCTCCAAACCCATCCCAAACACCTTCGAAACGAAGGTACGACTGGAGGCCTAGGGTTTGAGAAAGCCTTGAATCAAGACAAGTTTAGGCTTTAGGCTTTAGGGTTTAGGGTTAAGGCTTTCGGCTTTAGGGTTTAACCAAGACTCATCTTCGATCCGGAACCTCCGACTTGGACCTCGACCTTCGACCTCGGAGACGGGCGAACGTCGGAACCCGTCCACGAAACCGGCTCGGCTCTGCACACAGCTTGATGATGCCACGCGCATCCGTGGGCCGGTGGCCCTGGCCGAGGAAAATCGGGGGCCAAGGAATCCCGGTTTGGCGCCAATCGATGTGTTTCTGATCAACTAAACGTCAAACAAAAATCCAAAACGAGAAGAATTTGACGCAAAGGTTTCAACATGTTTCAACTTTGCTGCGCCATTGGGCTTGGGATATGCTATTCTTTGCTGGCTGTTTTGTCCTTATTCTGAAGTCCTTCTTCTTTTTTTGCGGCGTAGAATTCGACGAACCAAGGGAATAAAGGTACTTAAAAGCTGATGGCCTTCCCACCTCCCCTAGATAGATGATTGCAGGAAAATGTGACACCTGCCCACATTCCTATCCGGCAAACACCTTGCGCAGGAATAGCATGGAATAGCGATGAAGGAACTCTGATATTATTGCAAAAGCTAGCCTCCAACTAAGGAAGTAAACTGGTCAGAAGTTCAAACAACAGATTGGTACTAATAGTCCTACCCATGACTGTGTATAGCCATGTTCCCATAGTACCACCCGTGACTGAAATTGTCGCAGTTCTGCTTCCATCCTACACAACGATCTTTCTTGAAAAAAGAGCAAAGTTGCATTGACATAATCATAACAAAATACCACATACCAGGGGTCACAAAGGGGTGGTGTTTAGTCCCTAAGTGAGTGGATAATAGGCACCCCTATACTCCCAAGAGGCACCCCTTTGTGACTGCAGGTATTGTACTGTTTGTTAGGTTCCTCAGAACCGGGGGTATCCCCAAATCACCCAAATCAACCCAACCAGTAAAAAGCCATCGATGACGTCGATGGACTACCCACGAGGTGACGTGGCCCCAGCTAGGCAGTCACCTCCAGCAGAAACAGGGACAGCGCGATGCTCATGGACTTGTTGAAGTTCCCAGCCTTGTTCGTTTGGCAAACACTTTTGACATGCCACACAGACACAATAGCGATGCAATAGGTAAATGATGGAAAGCAAAACAAAAAAACACCTCCCAAATCAGGGATTTATTCAGAATTCCATGGAATTTCCAGCTCCTGACAGTGGGTTCTAACAAGCACTGGGACGAGGAGATTTCGTCCGGAAAAAAGCCAACCGAAGTCACGCAGAACGACACCACGCTTCAGCCACGTGCTTGCCATCTCTCAGCTTTCCGTTCTCCTTCCAAGACCAGCGCAACCCAAAAGATGGTCTCCCCAAAGGAAGGACAAAGAAAACCAATGCAATAGAGGCCCGGCCGGCCAGGCAGTGCGATCTGGGCAGTCTCCATCCTCGCGACCCCGGTGTCCAACGGTCATCGGACCTCCTTGGCCTTCGAAGGTCCAAACCGGGCGGTCCGGGCGAAGGAGCTGGTCGCCGGGGAGAGTTTCACGACCATGAAGGTCACGAAGAGGTTGAAGACCTCAGGTTCTTCGCATGTTTTGGAGACTCGGTGGGACCCGGTTCTGGTGTGGCCATGGGTCTTTGGGCGAAGGACTGCGCAGGTTGAAGCGAAGAGAAGGTCTCTCTAGTCTTCGGTGGAAGGGCGCAAGCGCCGCTCGGAAGGGCGCCGCCCATCCTCCGCAGGGGAGGAGAGTGGAGGTTCGCCCCTTTACTGGCGCCTGTGTGGACCCCGGATGAAATCTGTGGAGAAAGCAGCATGTTCAGGACATTGACATCTCGCCTCAGCATGTCTCAGCAGCGAAAATCGCTCATGGTGACTGGGCATCCGCACCATCGCGCAAACGCCCGAGCCCACCACCTGCGGGAGGTCAGATGTGTCACGCGCGCATGCTTACGCGCGCGGTGCTTGAACGAGAACACAGCTGGCTCCACAAAACATCCTAATCATGACATTCTGATGATACTAAAACATACTAAAACGCACAAAACTGCATGGAATTGAGTCACGTCTCCAAATCAACACCAATCTGACACAGATCTGCCACATGTCGGAGAGAGACGGGTGAACCTGCGAGACCCGTGACGTAGAAATCCACTCAGACGTCTTGTTTTGTGGGTGGTGACACCTTCAGGTGAACAAATGGTTTGGTGAAAAAAAAATGGCAAAGGTGGGGGCAAAGGGTCAAGTTTTGATCTACAGCTGACTCCGGGGGCGAATAGCATCAAATAGCTTGCATGAATACATACTGTATAGTCCAATCACATGACAGCCTGCAGTGTGTCCTTTCAACAGCCAAGAATGCCCCCAAAGCATCTAAAAACAGATCGAGCGCTCTTGTAGGTATGACGCTCCCCGATGCTCGAGCGCTCTTGTAGGTATGAGGCTCGTTTGCTTTGACCAAGACATCACGTTTGGCGCCCTATCTCCACATCTTTCGCGCGCACGAGTAACTCAGATCGGTCAAGAAACCCATAGGTAGGCGGGCGCATTCACCTGGGCGCGCCCGGGCGTTTCACGAGAATCTCCTTCCACACGCCACGTCACGAGTAACTCGTTTTGGCTCCAGAGACAGTGATGGCTTGGAGGGCGGTTCACCGGGTATCTATCGGTGACCACCGAAATGGCGGGTCTCTTTCAACTTGACTGAACAACAAAAGAACCCAGGTCCAATGTTTGAACCAGTTTGGGTGATTGCTTGTCCCTGCGTCATAGAAAAAACCTATAAAGGTCTATATAATTTCCGCAAACATGGAAGCGGTTAGTGCCGTGGTCAAGAACAAATGGACGGGCTCGTGAGATAAACAGATGTCGTGAGCTTTAAAGATGTCGTACTGTTCATCCCTATCCCGATTCAATGGCCTCGCATGGGTTGTAGGTTGAATTCTTTAAAAGAGGCTTTGATGTGAGAGTAGGCTGCTGAGAAAAGAACTTGATGTATCCTGATGTTCTGAACATGGTGAATTCAAAAGACATCTATAGGTATTTCCGTTGCACCATCTCGCTCTATAGGAGAACAACTGGCTGCCTGGTTGTCCTGGCCTCAGGTGTGGATCTATATTCCGCCCGATACAAAACCTTGAATCTGTTCTGAGCAGCTCAGCTCCCAGGCCTTTACGAAGCATCTGTATAGTATATGCGGATTTTCATCCAGGACCCATCTCACGTTTACATGTGATCTGGATCAAGCACCTTCGTCCTCGCTCGTGAAGAAACAATCTGAGCGGTTTGTGGAGGTGGAGTCACTGTGAGCTTCGCACGGTAGCGGAGCCTGACCGAGAGAAAGATCTCGGTTGGGCATTCTTATTTTCCAGGGGGGTCTCTAGCTAGCTGCAGCCATGGCAGAGCTGCGTTTCAACAAGGACGGCATTCCTATCTATGACGGAACTGCTGAACTATATGTGCCATATCGGCGAGCGGCCTTGAACTATGTGGAAACGCTGGAATGGAAGAAAAGGAGCCTCGCAGGCCCGCGCCTGCAAGCTGCTCTTGAGGGATCTGCGAGAGTTGCCGTGCAACACCAGACGCCAGGCTGGATTAGTCATCACGAAGGTGCAATGCAGCTCCTGAATTTTCTCAAGGCCAAGCTACAAGCTCCGACCTTGGCAGAAGCCGGGAAATCCATCTCCAGGTTCTTCTACAGTGTCAAGCGCCGCAAGGGCGAAAGCATGAATGAATGGCTCATTCGGCATGATGAATCGCTCTTCGATGCTCGCAGAACATTGGCTGAGGCAATCCATGAGTATGGTGCTGGGGAAGCCCCTACTCGACGGAATTTGTCCTCAACAAAGTCTGCGGCACCATCACAGACTCCATCTCAGTATGAGCGTGAAGAAGATGAACATGATGTCACAGGCCTTTCTGACCATGGGCCCTTCAGAGATGATGGTCGAATGGACGATGGTTTTTTCCTCCTCTCGCCCAGCTCCCTCCTCTCGACCAGCTCCATCTCAACACGAAGACCCATGGACCGACTGGCATGAGAAAAAGGCGTGGTCTAAATGGGATTGGGACTCCTCAACTTGGGAGTGGTCCAATTGGCAGTCACATCACGCTGCCGATACATGGGGCAAACCAAGCTCCTCCTCAAAGTATGATGCGTCAGAGTCTGCAGCTTCAGAAGCAGACCGATTCCTTCCTGACTTTGTGGTGGCTTGGATGCTCCTGCAACGCTCTGGTCTCGATAGCACAGAGCGAGGGGCTATCATCTCCAACCTGAAGAACCAGTTCACCACCAGTCAGGTGAAGGGTGCTCTCCGCCTTGCCTGGCCTGCTGATGATTTGAAGAAGCGGGATAATCTCCGGGGCTCTGCGCTCTTTCTGGAGGAAGATGAAGCACTTCTTTTGGAGGAGGACGATAGCCTTGGTGAGGACCTGATGAATGAGGCCGATCAGGAGCACTACTCTTACCTTACGGCAGATGTAGAGGTTGCTCTTCAGGCCTACAATGGGGCACGGCGGACCTTGAAAGAGGCCAGAGAGAAACAGAGCTTCTTCAAGAAGAGTCGACAGTTCTACGGTTCTCGGAAAGACTTCAACCCCAAGCCCAAAAGTGAGACCAGCTTTCAGCGCAAGTGTTTCAAGTGTGGTGGACCACACAGTACACATGACTGTCCTCAGAAGACATCTACATCCTCTGGGCAACAATCTGCCCACCTGGCATTTCAAGTGCATGGCAACTGGAATGAGCCACGGCTACATCATGCCCAAGTCGGGCATGAGCATGGGTTGACCTTGGCTCAAATTCTGGACGAGGGCAAGGCTATCATTGACGGAGGAGCCACCTCCTCAGTGGGTTCGGCGGATGCTCTGGACCAGATCCTTGCTCTCCAGGAGGCCAAGTCATGGACTCCACAGGTGGATGTGGAGCTGACCAACCAGCCGCATTTTCGATTCGGCAATGGCGGGCAGAAACAGTGCCTTAGTACAGCCAAGCTGAATATTCCACTTGGAGGTGCCGAAGGCACTATGAGCATCCACGTTCATGACATCGTAGGTCAACCAGTTTTGCTCAGCATCGCTGCTCTCCGTGCATTAGGAGCAGTAATTGATTTTTCAGAGGACGAAATGATTTTGAAGCGAGTGGATGCATCTCGAGTCATCAAACTGGAGACGACGCCGGGAGGCCATCAGGTGTTTCCCTTGACGTCGGACATTTTGTCAGAAAGCATCCCTCGCTCCAAGCCTTTTGTGAGTTTGCGAGACATTTCAACCGAATAGGGACATCACCCTCCTCGGCCAAATGGATCTGAACTGGAGACTTTCGTCTGTTCGGAAAAGGCTGGGGAGGGAAGTGCAGAATGGAATTTTTCAATTGTGCAAATCCTGTTCAGTTCTGAGTATTCCTTTCTTGTTGATGATTTTCTTTGTGAACAGTTGGTTGAGTTAGGTTCGGGTTCGTCGATGTCGTCTGTGTGTGTTTGCTTTGGGAAACAAGAAAACTTCCTAACTGGGATATCACCAAAGCCCGGGCACAAGTTAGATCGTGAATCCTGTGATCCTCCCGAGTCCGCCAATCATGCCAGCAATGTCCAAAGCTCAGCTGATCGAGAAGATCCAGGAGTACGGCGAGACTCCTCCCTCTACGTGGGGCAAGACCCAACTGGAGGGTCGGCTTGCAGAGTTGAAACACCTTCACCAAGTCGAAGAAGGGTCACAGACCAAGAGCCGTGTAGCCGAACTCAACAAGGCTGCTCGCAAGAAAGATCATCTCTTGGCTTACATGAAGGACAACAACATCCAGCACTCGGGACACGAGACCATCAGTCAACTCTTGGCTCTGGGGCACCGCCACATTCTGGAGACCACCAGTCCTCGGGGATCCGATGCCATGGGCTTCGGGAAGCATGCCAACCTGACCTACTCGGAGGTGGCCAACCAGGACTGGAACGATGTACAATGGATGCTGACCACCTGCCAGGAGGCAGGAGGCCTGAAGGGCACCAGCGATTGGCGCCTGAAGCGGTTCATCCAGTGGTACACTCATGGTCAGAAGGGCATCCAGAAGCCGGCAGGATCATCCAAGAAGGTCGAGAACAGCAAGGATGTCAAGTCTCAAGGCTATGCTCCAAAGACCTATGCGATGAACTCGCCCCGCCAAGAAGAGAAGACGGACTCCTCATTCACGGTCATCTCTGCTCCAGTTCTTCCAACCGAGACCGAGGAGGAGATGGAGACAATCTCAGAGACAGAGCTGGAAATTCAACGCCTCGAGGGCCAACTTCGCGATCTCCAGCGTGCCAAGAAGGAGCGCTCCAGCCGTGCTGCACCTGCGCCTCCTCGGGCGGAGCCACAATGAGTGGTGACTTGGAACAGTCACCTGCATATGAGCTTCATCAAGCATTGAGCGCTGCGGAAATTCGTTTGCTTTCAAATCAAGCCAAAGACACTGTACTTCAGGCTTGGGAGGAAATGGTTGATCATAACCGATTGTTTTTGTTGGAGGTTTGTTGTGCGGAAGATTCTGTTTTGACCGACCAATGCCAACAGATCTTTGGTGAAGGCACCGCTGAACGAATCGCTCACTGGAATGGTGGGGACATAGAAACCTTCTCCGGACGACAGCACATCGCTCAGTTAACGAAAAGAAGCCAAAGGTCGTATGGATATCGCCCGAGTGTGGCCCCTTCAGTCCCATACAACACTTGAACATGAACACTCCTGAGAAACGAAAAAAACTCAAAGAAAAACGTCGACATGCGATTTTGCAATATGAGGGAGCATGTCAGTTGGCTCAGATTGCTCATGAAGAGGGTTGTACCTTTGTGATTGAGTTGAGTGAGAAATGTGAAGGTTGGTCACAACAATGTTTCAAGGACCTAGGTAAACAGGTGATGGTGTTCGAGGCGGTGTGTAAGGGTTGTCAGGTGAATCTGAGGGATGACAAGAACCACCTTCTGGGAAAAGGGTGGAGAATGAAGAGCAACAATTCCAAACTCATGAACCACATGAATCTTCCTTGTAGCATGGACCATGAACATGGCACGTGTGAAGGGGAAATTAGTGTGTAGGAGCACCGCGTTCTATCCCCGGGAATTCGCTCGTCGCGTGCTGAAGAGTGCAAGGTTCAAGGAAAATCATCAAGAGCTTTTGGGGGGAACTGTGTGATGGTATCGGAAACAACCATCCCAATTTTGACTTGAAGGAGGACTCTTTCTGTTTCTCCCTGACCCCTGAAGAAAAGAACAAAACCCTGCAGAACATCAAAAGGATCCATGTTGCGACTGGTCATTGTAACAAGGACTATCTCTATCGTGCTTTGAAACGTCGAGGTATCGATGAGGAACGATGTAGGCTGGTTCATGAGTTTAAGTGTGACATTTGTCAAGAGACCCGTCGACCGGCGCCTCGGAACAAATCCACCTTGGAAGACCTTCCTCCGAAGTGGACCAGGTTACAAATGGACAGTGCTGACTGGCAACATCCTGAAACGGGGGAGACCTTTCATTTTATTCTAGGAGTGGATGAGGGATCACGATTTAGGGTTGGACGGTTCATGCATCATGGACGCAATTTCTCACCATCCACTCAGAACCTGATCCAATTTTTCGAAGCGCATTGGCAGCCAGTGTTTGGAAAACCCACCTCAATTCGTCTCGATCCGGCTGGCGCGTACCGAAGTAATGCGTTGGAACAGTACATGTCCGATCGTCACATCATGATTGACACAATTCCCGGAGAAGCGCATTGGCAGAATTCGTTGGTGGAGCGGGGTATTCAATTTACCAAATCCATGATGACCTCCTTGGCTAAGGAATACCCTGAGATGGCTTTCCAGGAACTTCTGCCGAGGTCTCTGTGCGCCCAAAACAATCATGATCAGTACTTGGGTTTTTCTCCTCTTCAACATGCGTTTGGACGAGGACCGGACTGTTTGGGACATTTGAGTCATGACCAAATGACGGACATTCCTGTTTTGACTGAATCCGGAATTTCTGCCGAATTCGGGGAAAATGTGAAAGCTATGATTGAGGCTGAACAAGCTTTTCACAAGGAACAAAACAAGGAACGACTGAAGAGAGCTCTCTTGTCTGGGCATCGACCTGCCTTGCAAGTGACCCCAGGTGACTTGGTGTTTTACTGGCGCCTTCAAGGCTCAGGGACTTTTAAGAGAGGTCGGTTTTTGGGACCAGCGCGTGTCCTAGCTGTAGAGACTCGAAGAGACTCCGATGGCAGTCAGCGACCCTCCTCTGTGGTCTGGTTGGTGAGAGGAAACAAACTGTTTAAAGCAGCACCTCAACAGATCCGCCACGCCAGTCCCCGAGAAATGGCATGGGCTGAACTTGAGCAACCCCATCAGCCGCTCTCTTGGACAATTTCAGATCTTGTGGATGGCTCAAAGAACAAAATGTACGAGGCCATCCATAAAGAATGGGAGGAATATGTCAAGGAACACCAGATTCCTGACCAAGAACCTCCTAACCTGGAAGACCTAGAGAGAGAACTCGAAGACGAAGACATGCCTCCAGAAGAACCAGCTTCCGCATCAAGCGGACCATCTTCCGAAGAACGGCCAGAGAGATCAGCTGAAGGATCAACAAGTCCGGAAGCCATGGAAGAAGAACGTCCACCAGCCTCTAAGAGAAAATGGCAGGCTCCACTTCTCCGAGCACGGAAGAAGACTCCAGGAGTTGAACAGTTGGAAGAAGCGGACTTCATTGGCTTGGCATCCAGTGAGCCGTCCAACCATCTTGGTCAAGAACAAGCCTGCGTCAGCATAGAGATCGATCTTCCTTCAGGTCCAGCCGTGAAGAAGAAATCCTGGCTACGCAATTTCGAAGGATTCATTGCCAGCCAGGTGAAGAAGAATCACATCGAGATTTCAGAAAGATGGCTCACACCAGAAGAGAGACAATTGTTTCAAGCTGCAAAAGATGTTGAAGTCAGGAACTTTATCCTGGCCAAAGTTTTTGAACGACTTCCAGACCATGTCAAGCCCGACCGGACTCAGGCTCTCAAGATGAGATGGGTATTGACATGGAAAATCTGCCCGAACACACAGAACAGAAAAGCGAAAGCTAGGGCAGTTGTGCTAGGGTATCTAGACCCTGAGTATGAAAGAAGACCTTCGGCCAGTCCGACCGTGTCGAGAACATCTAGACAGCTTTTTCTTCAAGCAGCTGCTTCCTTTGGATATGCCGTTGAGAAGGGTGACGTCAGTGGAGCATTCCTTCAAGGAAGGCGATTCAATAGAGAAGTGCTGTGTGAACCTCTGCCTGAAATTTGTCAGCAACTAGGTCTGCCAGAAGGAAGTTTGACGCTTCTCACTCGAGCTGCGTATGGGCTAGTAGAAGCTCCAATAGAGTGGTATTGCACCATCAATGAGTTTCTCGAAGAGCTTGGCTTCCGAAGACAGCAAAGTGATCCATGTGTGTGGGGACTCTTCCAAGACGATCCTCAAATTCCAGAAGACGAACCTCAAACACCAATTGGATGGATCTGCTCCCACGTGGATGACTTCATGTTCGCAGGTCAGCTGTCAGACCCTCGCTGGCAAGAAATTCGAAGAAAGATTCAAGAGAAATTCCGCTGGGGTGATTGGGAAAAAGGCTCATTCTCTCAGTGTGGAGTCAACATTGAAACTACACCATCCGGAGGTTTTTGCTTGAGCCAAAGTGATTTTCTGGATGGCGTGGATGAGATTCACATTCCCAAGAAGAGATGGGATCAAAGAGGAGAACGAACAACTGATGCTGAGAAGCAACAGATGCGCTCAGTACTAGGATGCTTGTCCTGGCACGCAGGACAACTAGCAATGGATTCCTGTGCATCCGTTGGACTGCTTCTCTCACAAGTGACTTCATCAATTGTAGAGGACTTGATTGAAGTGAACAAAGTCTTGAAAAGAGCTAAAGCTCGTGGCAAGCAAAAGATGTACATTCATCCTGTTCCTCCAAAAGACATCCTCGTAGCCACTTGGGTTGACGCTGCTCATGCCAACAGACCAGATGGGAGCAGCACCAAGGGTGTTGTCATTGGATGTTCATCACATCAATTGTTGAAGGGAGAACTTGACGTGGTAAGTCCCATCTACTGGACCTCATCGAAGATCACTAGGATCTGCCGATCAAGTGCTTCAGCCGAAACTCGTGCAGCTGTGGACGGCGATGATCAAATGTTCGCCATTCGTTTTCAGCTAGGAGAATTTCTCGGTTTCCCACCAGACATCCATGATCTAGATGGATATGTGAGCAAGGTGCCTGGTGTTTTGATTTCTGATGCCAAGAACTTGTACCATCGTCTTTCTCAGACCATGCTCACACTTCGAGGAGCCGAGAAGCGAAGTGATCTGGAGAGCTTGTGCTTGAAAGAGTCCATGAATTGGGCAAAGACCCAACTTCGTTGGGTAAACGGTGACTCCCAGTTAGCGAACAGTCTTACCAAACCTACGGAACCTCACCAGTGTTTGTTGTTTTCGTCGCGGAACTGTCGGTGGAGAATCGTTTATGACTCAGAACTGATGTCTGGTCGTCGAAGAAAGAACCAAGGCCTAAGCGCCTTAGAACCAGACCAGGAAGGTGTGTCTCGCACTTAAAGATTTTAGAATTTTGGGACCTGTGCGGATTTTCATCCAGGACCCATCTCACGTTTACATGTGATCTGGATCAAGCACCTTCGTCCTCGCTCGTGAAGAAACAATCTGAGCGGTTTGTGGAGGTGGAGTCACTGTGAGCTTCGCAGTATATATATATATATAGCTTGGCTAAGAATGGACAGCCAGGGGTCACAAAGGGGTGGTGTTTAGTCCCATCCAGTGAGTGGATAATAGGCACCCCTATCCTCCAAGAGGCACCCCTTTGTGACTCCACTGCAGGAGTGATTATTCATTTTTGATGTCTTTTTGTCATCTGATGTGTGAAGACCGTCGCACACCGTGGCCATGTGAGCCTTGAAGCTCAACAGGTCACTCGGCCACCTTCCGAAATGAAACTGAATGCGGTTCTGCAGTTGACATCTAGTGTTGTTTTTCTCTGTATTTATAACATGATATATACCAGCACCCTCCAACAGGTCACCACCTGCGACTTTTAAGTCAGCAAAAGCCTCCAGAGGAGACCTGTTGGAGGGTGCTGGTATAAGATTATATATAAATAAGTGATTCCTCCTCCTGTCTGAGCCGGGTTTGATCTCTGAGTCACTTGACTTTCTATCTTTTCTCGCTCCGGACCACCTCCCCTCACCTGCTCCCTCACTGCATCGAGGGCGCCGAGAAGACCTTCAGGAAGACCGACAGGTCCGTCAAAGGCGACCCGAACCGGGCCATCCAACTCGGCGGCCTTGCGACCAGCGAGGTCGGTCGTGGGGTGGGGGGTCGCTGTGGCGCCGTGGTTGGGAGGAAGGAACGGATGGTTTGCCGTGTCAAGGACCTGGTACTCCTGTAGGCTTGAAACCCGCTTCACACGCCAACTTCAGAGCTCAGGTTTTCACCTTTTGGGCTGGACACATGGTGAAGGTCTACAAAACACGATCGAAGCAACTGGCAAGCGAAGGGTTGGAACCAAAAAACACAGAGACTGTGGATCTACCATCGATGAGTGTTGACATTAGGGGTCCTGGCCCACATGCTCAGAAGGTAGGCACAAACCCCTCAAACTCACCCACCCATCCCCACCCATCCCACCCACCCCACCCATCCCAACCACCCACCCCACCCATCCCAACCACCCACCCCACCCACCCCACCCTTCTTTTTGGATGTGCTTCTTCAGCCCGGGAATCACCCAACTCTCCAGGTTTCCCCCCACCTGGCGCCCAGCAGTCTCCACAACCGGTCGACGACCAGTCTCCATCCACAACACCACGACGACTCGGTTCAGCCACGGACCAAGGCGCACAGGTGTTGGGAGGAAGGACCCAAAGACCAAGGCCAAGAGTGCCACCGGCAAGGCGTTGTACAAGTTCGTCTCTAAGGCCTCAGCTTTGGACAAGGGATTGACTGAGTCTGATGGCGCCCTGAAGCCGACAGGTGTTGGGATTGACTCAATGCCTGCATGCATGTTGACCCTTTTTCCAATGCGAATTTAGGCCCGTGATTCAGGACCCCCGATGAGTTGGAGGGCCCGTTTCTGAAAGCGGCAAGACCTGGACCGCATCAAACCGCCTTTCAAACAGCCACCCAAATCAGTTTGGCACACCTTTGGACATCATATACTGACTCTTTGGCTTTCTTCACCCCCTCAAAAACCAATGGGAAAATGATTTCTTGGGCAATTCTGTGGATCAAGATCATGGACCACTGCAACCCTAATGGATTAAGCAAAGAATTGTAATTCTATATACAAATGTTTGACCAATTGTGGCTAATTGACCGATTACCTGCATGCAGTTGACTCTTCTCTTTCTCCAACAATACATGCCAAGAAACATGTTTGCTCATGTTGGCTCATTGTTGGCTTGTCCATTCGGCAGTTTGCCCAAAAAGTGAAATTCATTGGTGGATAGGACTTTGGCCAAATAGTATCGACTAGGTGGATCTGCACAGAAATCATTAATAAAATTATGTGTGAACCCATATAGTACTCAGCCAATGATGTGTTGATTTCCAACAAAAACAACCCTCTATCACAACCTGCCCCAAATTGGTCTTCTGAGAAGAGGGTAAGAAAGCAACTTCCCCACAGGCCTCTGTTTCCATAGGCCTTCCACCTTCCTTCCCTCTCCGATAAGTCTTTGGGATTATCCTCATGAAGAGATTTTAATCGGATCTCACTCCTGATTGACCGCGCCAACGAGTTCGCCCATTTTATGCCACTTTCCACTTCTGACCTTCTACGGGGGATGATGAATCTTTAAAACACAACTCATCTCCAGTCCCACCTGGCATGAACAGACTTAATCTTAACCACAGTGCAGTCCCACATGATCCCTCGCATGTGGCACATCGCAAAAAATCGTCGAGGTGTCTCTTTCACCGAGGAGCGTTCAGCTTGGGGCCTTTGCCCAACTTGGCCTTCAAGACGAAGTCCAAGCCCGCCAGCAATAAACTGGTCACGCAGAAGCACACCTGGTCACGACTCGGAAAAAGGGACGATTGGAGGAGGACAAGTTCGGGGACAGCAAAAGACAAGAGGAATCGATTGGGAAGTTCGAATCCTGAATCATGGTACGGGGGTATCTTGAAGTATCCAGTATCAGTATCCAGTCTCCAAATCCCTATATTTGGATCTGCACCAACAGGTCGTTTTGTCTGTCCACCTTTCCTCGCAGTAGTTTTGCGCCCCCTCACGCATTGGGTGTCCTGTCAATGGCAGGCCTGACATTGGGTGTCCTGTCAATGGCAGGCCTCACCCAACCATCGTCAAACAGGAGGGAATTTGGTTTGTGAGGATCCGATGGTTCAATATCTTCGTGGACTCCTCAGCGGCGGCCAAGGTCTGCTGGGCAGCTCCCAAACACGGCTTTGCTTGGCGTTGATGAGACGGCCTACACTTGGCAATAGCGATGCCCAAAAGCAAACTGACAAATAGAAGATATATGAAGATATATGATAGAAGGAGTACAACAGGAAATGTGGGGGGCCAGGATGATCTGATCACGTGCCTTTTTCTCCAACTTGCTTGGCAGAAGTCAATCAAAGGCCTGCATTAGCTTTCACCAACTCCAAGATCCAAAATCCAGCTTGGAACGGCTCCTTGATGGCTCAGCCGAGAGCAGAACGGGGTCTTCAACAAAAAGGGTCTGACAAATGAAAAGAGTTCTGTTTTTTGGAGACCCAGTGCATCCCAGTTACCACATATATAAGGAACCAGGGATTCGTTCGGTCTATGGTGTTAGTCTTTGGAACCACGGGTTACCAGTTATAGTGGTAAATGGATGCCCTGGGAGAGTGATTCACCCCCTAAAAAACAATGAGCGCCTGACCTGCTTCGACTCCATCCACCTGGGGCGATGGCCCCACCCAAAGTGGGCTTTGAGATGACACTCCTGAGGTGCCGCACGCCACACCAAAAGCTTCTCGAGGCCTGGGTGGATGGATCCATCCATGGATGGCTGGATTCGAGAAAAAACGATAAAACACGGGCCTCCCTCCCCCAACGAGCTTTTTGGGGGGAATTGTTGGAATCAGCAAGGTTGGTATACCTCTGATTGGAGGTCTTGAGACATGGTGCATGTGGATTGTCTTGATCTCGTCGCAAAGAAAGCTGGCATTCTCAGTCTTTTTCTGGATACATGTCGAATTTTAAGCATCAATTCCCATTTCTTCCATCAAATGTTCGATCCAGTTCCATCCATCCATCCATCCATCCATCCATCCATCCATCCATCCATCC